ATAGGCTGGGACTCCTGCTCTTCTCTCTGGGTCTATAGGCTGGGACTCCTGCTCCTCTCTCTGGGTCTATAGGCTGGGGACTCCTGCTCTTCTCTCTGGGTCTATAGGCTGGGACTCCTGCTCTTCTCTCTGGGTCTATAGGCTGGGACTCCTGCTCCTCTCTCTCTGGGTCTATAGGCTGGGACTCCTGCTCCTCTCTCTGGGTCTATAGGCTGGGAGTCCTGCTCTTCTCTCTCTGGGTCTATAGGCTGGGACTCCTGCTCTTCTCTCTGGGTCTATAGGCTGGGACTCCTGATCCTCTCTCTGGGTCTATAGGCTGGGACTCCTGCTCTTCTCTCTCTGGGTCTATAGGCTGGGACTCCTGCTCCTCTCTCTGGGTCTATAGGCTGGGACTCCTGCTCCTCTCTCTCTGGGTCTATAGGCTGGGACTCCTGCTCCTCTCTCTGGGTCTATAGGCTGGGACTCCTGCTCCTCTCTCTCTGGGTCTATAGGCTGGGACTCCTGCTCTTCTCTCTCTGGGTCTATAGGCTTGGGACTCCTGCTCTTCTCTCTCTGGGTCTATAGGCTGGGACTCCCTGCTCTTCTCTCTCTGGGTCTATAGGCTGGGACTCCTGCTCCTCTCTCTGGGTCTATAGGCTGGGACTCCTGCTCCTCTCTCTGGGTCTATAGGGCTGGGACTCCTGCTCTTCTCTCTCTGGGTCTATAGGCTGGGACTCCTGCTCCTCTCTCTGGGTCTATAGGCTGGGACTCCTGCTCCTCTCTCTCTGGGTCTATAGGCTGGGACTCCTGCTCCTCTCCTCTGGGTCTATAGGCTGGGACTCCTGCTCCTCTCTCTGGGTCTATAGGCTGGGACCCTGCTCCTCTCTCTGGGTCTATAGGCTGGGACTCCTGCTCTTCTCTCTGGGTCTATAGGCTGGGACTCCTGCTCTTCTCTCTGGGTCTATAGGCTGGGACTCCTGCTCTTCTCTCTGGGTCTATAGGCTGGGACTCCTGCTCCTCTCTCTCTGGGTCTATAGGCTGGGACTCCTGCTCCTCTCTCTGGGTCTATAGGCTGGGACTCCTGCTCCTCTCTCTGGGTCTATAGGCTGGGACTCCTGCTCTTCTCTCTGGGTCTATAGGCTGGGACTCCTGCTCCTCTCTCTCTGGGTCTATAGGCTGGGACTCCTGCTCCTCTCTCTCTGGGTCTATAGGCTTGGACTCCTGCTCCTCTCTCTCTGGGTCTATAGGCTGGGACTCCTGCTCTTCTCTCTGGGTCTATAGGCTGGGACTCCTGCTCCTCTCTCTGGGTCTATAGGCTGGGACTCCTGCTCCTCTCTCTGGGTCTATAGGCTGGGACTCCTGCTCCTCTCTCTGGGTCTATAGGCTGGGACTCCTGCTCTTCTCTCTCTGGGTCTATAGGCTGGGACTCCTGCTCCTCTCTCTGGGTCTATAGGCTGGGACTCCTGCTCCTCTCTCTGGGTCTATAGGCTGGGACTCCTGCTCTTCTCTCTGGGTCTATAGGCTGGGACTCCTGCTCCTCTCTCTGGGTCTATAGGCTGGGACTCCTGCTCCTCTCTCTGGGTCTATAGGCTGGGACTCCTGCTCTTCTCTCTGGGTCTATAGGCTGGGACTCCTGCTCTTCTCTCTCTGGGTCTATAGGCTGGGACTCCTGCTCTTCTCTCTCTGGGTCTATAGGCTGGGACTCCTGCTCTTCTCTCTCTGGGTCTATAGGCTGGGACTCCTGCTCTTCTCTCTCTGGGTCTATAGGCTGGGACTCCTGCTCCTCTCTCTCTGGGTCTATAGGCTGGGACTCCTGCTCTTCTCTCTCTGGGTCTATAGGCTGGGACTCCTGCTCTTCTCTCTGGGTCTATAGGCTGGGACTCCTGCTCTTCTCTCTCTGGGTCTATAGGCTGGGACTCCTGCTCCTCTCTCTGGGTCTATAGGCTGGGACTCCTGCTCCTCTCTCTAGGTCTATAGGCTGGGACTCCTGCTCCTCTCTCTCTGGGTCTATAGGCTGGGACTCCTGCTCCTCTCTCTCTGGGTCTATAGGCTGGGACTCCTGCTCTTCTCTCTGGGTCTATAGGCTGGGACTCCTGCTCCTCTCTCTGGGTCTATAGGCTGGGACTCCTGCTCTTCTCTCTCTGGGTCTATAGGCTGGGACTCCTGCTCCTCTCTCTGGGTCTATAGGCTGGGACTCCTGCTCTTCTCTCTCTGGGTCTATAGGCTGGGACTCCTGCTCCTCTCTCTGGGTCTATAGGCTGGGACTCCTGCTCCTCTCTCTGGGTCTATAGGCTGGGACTCCTGCTCCTCTCTCTGGGTCTATAGGCTGGGACTCCTGCTCCTCTCTCTGGGTCTATAGGCTGGGACTCCTGCTCCTCTCTCTCTGGGTCTATAGGCTGGGACTCCTGCTCCTCTCTCTGGGTCTAAGGCTGGGACTCCTGCTCCTCTCTCTGGGTCTATAGGCTGGGACTCCTGCTCTTCTCTCTCTGGGTCTATAGGCTGGGACTCCTGCTCTTCTCTCTGGGTCTATAGGCTGGGACTCCTGCTCCTCTCTCTGGGTCTATAGGCTGGGACTCCTGCTCCTCTCTCTGGGTCTATAGGCTGGGACTCCTGCTCTTCTCTCTGGGTCTATAGGCTGGGACTCCTGCTCCTCTCTCTGGGTCTATAGGCTGGGACTCCTGCTCCTCTCTCTCTGGGTCTATAGGCTGGGACTCCTGCTCTTCTCTCTCTGGGTCTATAGGCTGGGACTCCTGATCTATGCAGCTCTGTAACAAAAGCATGATTACTGGGCATAAATACCAACAGTATGGGGTGATACAGAGTGCTGTTCTGGATAGTGTCCATGTCATATGGTACTGCTCTGCTTGAAACAGAGCCGGGACCTGCCCTTAAAACCATACTGTACAATATGGACTGGAGGAGGGACAGATCCTTCAGACACAGAAAGCAAGAGAGAGAGTAGAGAGACAGAGAGATAGGAGAGAGTAGAGAGACAGAGAGATAGGAGAGAGTTAGAGAGACAGAGAGATAGGAGAGAGTTCGAGAGACAGAGAGATAGGAGAGAGTAGAGAGACAGAGAGATAGGAGAGAGTTCGAGAGACAGAGAGATAGGAGAGAGTTAGAGAGACAGAGAGATAGGAGAGAGTAGAGACAGAGAGATGGAGAGAGTTAGAGAGACAGAGAGATAGGAGAGAGTAGAGAGACAGAGAGATAGGAGAGAGTAGAGAGACAGAGAGATAGGAGAGAGTTAGAGAGACAGAGAGATAGGAGAGAGTAGAGAGACAGAGAGATAGGAGAGAGTGAGAGACAGAGAGATAGGAGAAGTAGAGACAGCGAGATAGGAGAAGTAGAGGACAGAGAGATAGGAGAGAGTAGAGACAGAGAGATAGGAGAGAGTAGAGAGGGGACAGAGAGATTAGGAGAGGTAGAGAGACAGAGAGATAGGAGAGGACAGAGAGATAGGAGAGGTAGGACAGGAGATAGGAGAGAGAGAGAGAGACTAGAGAGATAGGAGGTAGAGGAGACAGAGAGATAGGAGAGAGTAGAGAGACAGAGAGATAGGAGAGAGTAGAGAGACAGAGAGATAGGAGAGAGTAGAGAGAGATAGGAGAGAGTAGAGAGACAGAGAGATAGGAGAGAGTAGAGAGACAGAGAGATAGGAGAGAGTAGAGAGAGATAGGAGAGAGTAGAGAGACAGAGAGAGAGACCTGATGTTATGAACACTTAAAGGGACATTTCCCCGCTGCTCTATTTCACTCTACAAGTCCATGAATGTATTATTAACATATCATGTGTCATAAACATTTAGGATTTCCTCACTACACGCAAATACGAGCGTTTCTGCATCTCACCGGTAGCAACGGGCCAGCTACATCGCCTGGTTGTAAGCAAACCACAATATCCAGAATTCATAGTGATTTCAGGATGTGTGAGAAATATAAAAATATCTGTTAGTAGCCAGCACTTTCAGCCAGAGGATTTCAAAACGGAACTGAAGTCTAAATTGGAGAAAAGGAGGTCTTAGTAAGGAGGGGGTGGGGGTGGGTGACCGACTGGTGTCTGCTGTGGATGGGTATTGTTTTAAGGTCAGTATGCATGATCTATTGACATGAGGGGGGTGGATATGGTACCTTGTTAGAGTGTGTATTGATGGGGACAGAGTAGTAAATGTTGTCTAATCACTGACTAGTGTTTGTCCTACAGACTGATGCTGCTGCTGAGGACGATGACCTGGACACCAGCTTCAGTAGGACGGAGCCTGTAGACCCAATTGGATGAAAGCTTTCAGCCTGGAATAAGCCTCAAGCCCACAATACCAATACCCAATACCCTCTTTAGAAAACAAAATCACCAATACACTAAACTGTCTACAAGTCAAGTGCTCCTCAATCTTTTCACACCCTTGCAGTCAGTTCTTTGGCATTGGGGGAGAGGGGCTGTCAGTATACTACTAGCCTAGTCACTCTATCGTTGGCAGTGCTTGTCTATAACTGGAGGTGCACAACAATACACAACTAGACTGTCTACAAGTCAAGCCCCCCTCAAACTTGTCCCATCTTTGCTAACAGCCCATGTCAATGCCCCATTAGTGACTCTGAGTGGAACAAAACACATACCAGTCTAATGGGCCCTTTAGTGTTTACAGATGAACATGGTTTATTGTATGGTTACACATCCTCAGGATCAGGCTTCATGTTCTACACATCCTCATGATCAGTCTTCATGTTCTACACATCCTCATGATCAGTCTTCATGTTCTACACATCCTCATGATCAGTCTTCATGTTCTACACATCCTCATGATCAGTCTTCATGTTCTACACATCCTCATGATCAGTCTCCATGTTCTACACATCCTCAGGATCAGTCTCCATGTTCTACACATCCTCATGATCAGTCTTCATGTTCTACACATCCTCATGATCAGTCTTCATGTTCTACACATCCTCATGATCAGTCTTCATGTTCTACACATCTCATGATCAGTCTTCATGTTCTACACATCCTCATGATCAGTCTTCATGTTCTTACACATCCTCATGAGCAGTCTTCATGTTATACACATCCTCATGATCAGTCTTCTGTTTCTACACATCCTCATGATCAGTCTTCATGTTCTACACATCCTCATGATCAGGCTTCATGTTTTACATATCCTCATGATCAGTCTTTCATGTTCTACACATCCTCATGATCAGTCTTCATGTTCTACACATCCTCATGATCAGTCTTCATGTTCTACTACACATCCTCATGATCAGTCTTCATGTTTCTACACATCCTCATGATCAGTCTCATGTTTCTACACATCTCATGATCAGTCTTCATGTTTTACATATCCTCATGATCAGTCTTCATGTTCTACACATCCTCATGATCAGTATTCATGTTCTACACATCCTCATGATCAGTCTTCATGTTCTACACATCCTCATGATCAGTCTTCATGTTCTACACATCCTCATGATCAGTCTTCATGTTCTACACATCCTCATGATCAGTCTTCATGTTCTACACATCCTCATGATCAGTCTTCATGTTCTACACATCCTCATGATCAGGCTTCATGTTTTACATATCCTCATGATCAGTCTTCATGTTCTACACATCCTCATGATCAGTCTTCATGTTCTAACACATCCTCATGATCAGTCTTCATGTTCTACACATCCTCATGATCAGTCTTCATGTTCTACACATCCTCATGATCAGTCTTCATGTTCTACACATCCTCATGATCAGTCTTCATGTTTCTACACATCCTCATGATCAGTCTTCATGTTTTACATATCCTCATGATCAGTCTTCATGTTCTACACATCCTCATGATCAGTCTTCATGTTCTACACATCCTCATGATCAGTCTTCATGTTCTACACATCCTCATGATCAGTCTTCATGTTCTACACATCCTCATGATCAGTCTTCATGTTTTACATATCCTCATGATCAGTCTTCATGTTTTACATATCCTCATGATCAGTCTTCATGTTCTACACATCCTCATGATCAGTCTTCATGTTTTACATATCCTCATGATCAGGTCTTCATGTTCTACACATCCTCATGATCAGTCTTCATGTTCTACACATCCTCATGATCAGTCTTCATGTTCTTACACATCCTCATGATCAGTCTTCATGTTCTTACACATCCTCAATGATCAGTCTTCATGTTCTACACATCCTCATGATCAGTCTTCATGTTCTACACATCCTCATGATCAGTCTTCATGTTCTACCACATCCTCATGATCAGTCTTCATGTTCTACACATCCTCATGATCAGTCTTCATGTTCTACACATCCTCATGATCAGGCTTCATGTTCTACACATCCTCATGATCAGTCTTCATGTTCTACACATCCTCATGATCAGTCTAGTACATCTCATGATCAGTCTTCATGTTCTACACATCCTCATGATCAGTCTTCATGTTCTACACATCCTCATGATCAGTCTTCATGTTCTACACATCCTCATGATCAGTCTTCATGTTCTACACATCCTCATGATCAGTCTTCATGTTTTACACATCCTCATGATCAGTCTTCATGTTCTACACATCCTCATGATCAGTCTTCATGTTTCTACACATCCTCATGATCAGTCTTCATGTTCTACACATCCTCATGATCAGTCTTCATGTTCTACACATCCTCATGATCAGTCTTCATGTTCTACACGTCCTCATGATCAGTCTTCATGTTCTACACATCCTCATGATCCGTCTTCATGTTCTACACATCCTCATGATCAGTCTTCATGTTCTACACATCCTCATGATCAGTCTTCATGTTCTACACATCCTCATGATCAGTCTTCATGTTCTACACATCCTCATGATCAGTCTTCATGTTTTACACATCCTCATGATCAGTCTCATGTTCTACACATCCTCATGATCAGTCTTCATGTTCTACACATCCTCATGATCAGTCTTCATGTTCTACACATCCTCATGATCAGTCTTCATGTTTTACACATCCTCATGATCAGTCTTCATGTTTTACACATCCTCATGATCAGTCTTCATGTTCTACACATCCTCATGATCAGTCTTCATGTTCTACACATCCTCATGATCAGTCTTCATGTTCTACACATCCTCATGATCAGTCTTCATGTTTTACACATCCTCATGATCAGTCTTCATGTTCTACACATCCTCATGATCAGTCTTCATGTTCTACACATCCTCATGATCAGTCTTCATGTTCTACACATCCTCATGATCAGTCTTCATGTTCTACACATCCTCATGATCAGGCTTCATGTTCTACACATCCTCATGATCAGGCTTCATGTTCTACACATCCTCATGATCAGTCTTCATGTTCTACACATCCTCATGATCAGTCTTCATGTTCTACACATCCTCATGATCAGTCTTCATGTTCTACACATCCTCATGATCAGTCTTCATGTTTTACACATCCTCATGATCAGTCTTCATGTTCTACACATCCTCATGATCAGTCTTCATGTTCTACACATCCTCATGATCAGTCTTCATGTTCTACACATCCTCATGATCAGTCTTCATGTTTTACACATCCTCATGATCAGTCTTCATGTTTTACACATCCTCATGATCAGTCTTCATGTTCTACACATCCTCATGATCAGTCTTCATGTTCTACACATCCTCATGATCAGTCTTCATGTTCTACACATCCTCATGATCAGTCTTCATGTTCTACACATCCTCATGATCAGTCTTCATGTTTTACACATCCTCATGATCAGTCTTCATGTTCTACACATCCTCATGATCAGTCTTCATGTTCTACACATCCTCATGATCAGTCTTCATGTTCTACACATCCTCATGATCAGTCTTCATGTTCTACACATCCTCATGATCAGTCTTCATGTTCTAACACATCCTCATGATCAGGCTTCATGTTCTACACATCCTCATGATCAGGCTTCATGTTCTACACATCCTCATGATCAGTCTTCATGTTCTACACATCCTCATGATCAGTCTTCATGTTCTACACATCCTCATGATCAGTCTTCATGTTTTACATATCCTCATGATCAGTCTTCATGTTCTACACATCCTCATGATCAGTCTTCATGTTCTACACATCCTCATGATCAGTCTTCATGTTCTACACATCCTCATGATCAGTCTTCATGTTCTACACATCCTCATGATCAGTCTTCATGTTCTACACATCCTCATGATCAGGCTTCATGTTCTACACATCCTCATGATCAGTCTTCATGTTCTACACATCCTCATGATCAGGCTTCATGTTTTACATATCCTCATGATCAGTCTTCATGTTCTACACATCCTCATGATCAGTCTTCATGTTCTACACATCCTCATGATCAGTCTTCATGTTCTACACATCCTCATGATCAGTCTTCATGTTCTACACATCCTCATGATCAGTCTTCATGTTCTACACATCCTCATGATCAGTCTTCATGTTTTACATATCCTCATGATCAGTCTTCATGTTCTACACATCCTCATGATCAGTCTTCATGTTCTACACATCCTCATGATCAGTCTTCATGTTCTACACATCCTCATGATCAGTCTTCATGTTCTACACATCCTCATGATCAGTCTTCATGTTCTACACATCCTCATGATCAGTCTTCATGTTTTACACATCCTCATGATCAGTCTTCATGTTTTACATATCCTCATGATCAGTCTTCATGTTCTACACATCCTCATGATCAGTCTTCATGTTTTACATATCCTCATGATCAGTCTTCATGTTCTACACATCCTCATGATCAGTCTTCATGTTCTACACATCCTCATGATCAGTCTTCATGTTCTACACATCCTCATGATCAGTCTTCATGTTCTACACATCCTCATGATCAGTCTTCATGTTTTACACATCCTCATGATCAGTCTTCATGTTCTACACATCCTCATGATCAGTCTTCATGTTCTACACATCCTCATGATCAGTCTTCATGTTCTACACATCCTCATGATCAGGCTTCATGTTCTACACATCCTCATGATCAGTCTTCATGTTCTACACATCCTCATGATCAGTCTTCATGTTTTACACATCCTCATGATCAGTCTTCATGTTCTACACATCCTCATGATCAGTCTTCATGTTCTACACATCCTCATGATCAGTCTTCATGTTCTACACATCCTCATGATCAGTCTTCATGTTCTACACATCCTCATGATCAGTCTTCATGTTCTACACATCCTCATGATCAGTCTTCATGTTCTACACATCCTCATGACCAGTCTTCATGTTCTACACATCGTCATGATCGGTCTTCATGTCTTTCCAGGAGACTTGCAGTACAAACAAATCAAGGAGCCAGAGTCACAGCCCCCCATCGCCACAGCGCCAAAACTTGCTAATCTAGCTGCCATTATTTAGATATCAGTTTTTTTACTGAACACTTATTTTTCTTAAAACTGGTTAAAGGCTTGTAAGCATGTCACTGTAAGGTCTACACCTGTTGTATACGGCGCATGTGACAAATAAATGTGACAAATAAAATGTGATTTGATTTGACTTCAACTTCTTGATCAATTCATTGTGATATTCATGAAATGTATTTGGATAAACTAGCTTCAGTCTTACTGCTAAAACAAATGATGCAGGGAGTTGGTAACATGTAAACATGTTCTAATAAAACAGTAGATTAGTCTGTCAATATGTCAAGTAAGTAGACATGGCTTGTATTCAAGACAAAGTTTATTTGCTCTGGAGACCGAGGTGAGTTTACACAGCAGTATGCAGGGGGTGAGTTTACACAGCAGTATGCAGGAGGTGAGTTTACACAGCAGTATGCAGGGGGTGAGTTTACACAGCAGTATGCTGGAGGTGAGTTTACACAGCAGTATGCAGGGGGTGAGTTTACACAGCAGTATGCAGAAGGTGAGTTTACACAGCAGTATGCAGGGGGTGAGTTTACACAGCAGTATGCAGGGGGTGAGTTTACACAGCAGTATGCAGGAGGTGAGTTTACACAGCAGTATTCAGGAGGTGAGTTTACACAGCAGTATGCAGGAGGTGAGTTTACACAGCAGTATGCTGGAGGTGAGTTTACACAGCAGTATGCAGGAGGTGAGTTTACACAGCAGTATGCAGGGGGTGAGTTTACACAGCAGTATGCAGGAGGTGAGTTTACACAGCAGTATGCTGGAGGTGAGTTTACACAGCAGTATGCAGGAGGTGAGTTCACACAGCAGTATGCCAGAGATGAGTTTACACAGCAGTATGCAGGAACTGTTATGGCAATGTATGACCTACAGTACATTGGGAAAGTATTCAGACCCCATGACTTTTTCCACATTTTGGTATGTTACAGCCTTATTCTAAAATTGATATTACATTTACATAAGTATTCAGACCCTTTCATCAGACCAGAAAATCTTGTTTCTCATGGTCTGAGAGTCTTTAGGTGCCTTTTCGCAAACTCCAAGCGGGCTGTCATGTGCCTTATACTGAGGAGTGGCTTCCATCTGGCCACTCTACCATAAAGGCCTGATTGGTGGAATGCTGCAGAGATGGTTGTCCTTCTGGAAGGTTCTCCCATCTCCACAGAGGAACTCTGGATCTCTGTCAGAGTGACCATCGGGTTCTTGGTCACCTCCCTGACCAAGGCTCACCTTCCCCGATTGCTCACTTTTGGCCGGGCGGCCAGTTCTAGGAAGAGTCTTGGTGGTTCCAAACTTCTTCCATTTAAGAATGATGGACATGCACTGTCAACTGTGGGACCTTATATAGACATGTGTGTCCCTTTCCAAATCATGTCCAATCAACTGAATTTACCACAGGTGGACTCCAATCAAGTTGTAGAAACATCTCAAGGATGATCAATGGAAACAGGATGCACCTGAGCTCCATTTCGAGTCTCATAGCAAAGGGTCTGAATACTTATGTAAATAAGGTATTTCTGTTTTTATTTGTAATACATTTGCAAAAATTTATAAAAACCTGTTTTCACTTTGTCATTATGGGGTATTGTGTGTAGATTGCTCAGGATATAAAATAAATAATCAATTTTAGAATAAGGCTGTAACGTAACAAAATGTGGGAAAAGTCAAGGGGTCTGAATACTTCCAAAGGCACTGTATATACAGTAAAATAAAATATACTACTAATGCCTATAATAAAAACTACAGTTCTACAAAGGGAATACTTGCATATGGTGTGTTTGGGTGGTGCGGTGAGGTGTTCGGAGTCATTTTGATAAAAGGGGAGATTGTTGTTATGGGACCTTTCACATCTCCTCTTGAGCGTCATCAACTTCTCTGTATACAAGCGGTATAGTCTGAGAGAAAATAAAACAATACAGCTATAGTGCATTATGGCCAAACAGTTCTATTTTGGTTTCATCAGACCAGAGGACATTTCTCCAAAAAGTACCATCTTTGTCCACATGTGCAGTTGCAAACCGTAGTCTGGCTTTTTTATGGCGGTTTTGGAGCAGTGGCTTCTTCCTTGCTGAGCGGCCTTTCAGGTTATGTCGATATAGGACTCGTTTTACTGTGGATATAGATACTTTTGTACCTGTTTCCTCCAGCATCTTCACAAGGTCCTTTGCTGTTGTTCTGGGATTGATTTGCACTTTTCGCACCAAAGTACGTTCATCTCTTGGAGACAGAACGCATCTCCTTCCTGAGCGGTATGACGGCTGTGTGGTCCCATGGTGTTTATACTTGCGTCCTATTGTTTGTACAGATGAACGTGGTACCTTCAGGCGTTTGGAAATTGCTCCCAAGGATGAACCAGACTTGTGGAGGTCTAAAAAAAAAATTCTGAGGTCTTGGCTGATTTCTTTTGATTTCCCCATGATGTCAAGCAAAGAGGCACTGAGTTTGAAGGTAGGCCTTGAAATACATCCACAGGTACACCTCCAATTGACTCAAAGTATGTCAATTAGCCTATTAAAAGCTTCTAAAGCCATGACATCATTTTCTGGAATTTTCCAAGCTGTTTAAAGGCACAGTGAAATTAGTGTATGTAAACTTCTGACCCACTGGAATTGTGATACAGTGAATTATAAGTGAAATAATCTGTCTGTAAACAATTGCTGGAAAAATTACTTCTGTCATGCACAAAGTTAGTTAACAATACATTTGTGGAGTGGTTGAAAAACAAGTTTTAATAACTCCAACCTAAGTGTATGTAAACTTCCGACTTCAACTGTAGCTGTTCTGTCCTGCCGATGCACAGAAAACCCAGGCAAATGTATATTATCCATGTCGTCGTTCAGCCACGACTCGATGAAACATAAGATATTACAGTTTTTATTGTCCCGTTGGTAGGATAGTCTCGAATGGAGATCATCCAGCTTATTCTCCAGTGATTGCACATTGGCCAATAGGACGGATGGTAGAGGCTCGCCGACAAATTCTCACAAGGCACTCGGATCTGTATCTGGACCTGTATCGCCGGCTCTTTTTCATGTGAATGACATAAAACGCCCCGTCAGGCTGTAGTCTTTACAAAGCCATGGAAAATGAGTAAACCTAGATATCCGGCAATGTCCTGGAAGATAGGAACATCGTTGAACAAGGACAACTATATCTACACGCGTGATCGTGCAATCAGCAAAACACAAAGGTCACAATAATTGCTACAAAACATGACAATTTTTAGAAGAGACAGAAGGCTCAATCAACCAATGACGTAATCGGTTGAACTCTCCCAGCACGAAAATTAAACAATACAGCTATAGTGCATAATTATGTCTGAAACACCTTCTCATCACTCATAATTATGTAGGGAGACTGGAACACCCTCTCATCACTTATAATTATGGAGGGAGACTGGAACACCCTCTCATCACTTATAATTATGTAGGGAGACTGGAACACCTGTCATCACTTATAATTATGTATGGAGACTGGAACACCCTCTCATCACTTATAATTATGCAGGGAGACTGGAACACCTGTCATCACTTATAATTATGTATGGAGACTGGAACACCCTCTCATCACTTATAATTATGTAGGGAGACTGGAACACCTCTCATCATTATAATTATGTATGGAGACTGGAACACCTCTCATCACTTATAATTATGGAGGGAGACTGGAACACCCTCTCATCACTTATAATTATGTAGGGAGACTGGAACACCTCTCATCATTATAATTATGTATGGAGACTGGAACACCCTCTCATCACTTATAATTATGTAGGGAGACTGGAACACCTGTCATCACTTATAATTATGTAGGGAGACTGGAACACCTGTCATCACTTATAATTATGTAGGGAGACTGGAACACCCTCTCATCACTTATAATTATGTATGGAGACTGGAACACCTCTCATCACTTATAATTATGTAGGGAGACTGGAACACCCTCTCATCATTATAATTATGGAGGGAGACTGGAACACCCTGTCATCACTTATAATTATGGAGGGAGACTGGAACACCTCTCATCATTATAATTATGTAGGGAGACTGGAACACCCTCTCATCATTATAATTATGGAGGGAGACTGGAACACCTCTCATCACTTATAATTATGTAGGGAGACTGGAACACCCTCTCATCATTATAATTATGGAGGGAGACTGGAACACCCTGTCATCACTTATAATTATGGAGGGAGACTGGAACACCCTCTCATCATTATAATTATGGAGGGAGACTGGAACACCTGTCATCACTTATAATTATGTATGGAGACTGGAACACCCTCTCATCACTTATAATTATGGAGGGAGACTGGAACACCTGTCATCACTTATAATTATGGAGGGAGACTGGAACACCCTCTCATCACTTATAATTATGGAGGGAGACTGGAACACCCTCTCATCACTTATAATTATGTAGGGAGACTGGAACACCCTCTCATCACTTATAATTATGTATGGAGACTGGAACACCTGTCATCACTTATAATTATGGAGGGAGACTGGAACACCCTCTCATCACTTATAATTATGTAGGGAGACTGGAACACCTGTCATCACTTATAATTATGGAGGGAGACTGGAACACCCTCTCATCACTCATAATTATGTAGGGAGACTGGAACACCCTCTCATCATTATAATTATGTAGGGAGACTGGAACACCCTCTCATCACTCATAATTATGTAGGGAGACTGGAACACCCTCTCATCACTCATAATTATGTAGGGAGACTGGAACACCCTCTCATCATTATAATTATGTATGGAGACTGGAACACCCTCTCATCACTTATAATTATGTATGGAGACTGGAACACCCTCT